TCCGAGACAACTGTCCACACATTCGTTCAATCGGGTGAAGAGTTTCGCCACTTTATGGCTACTATTCTTCTTCTGATGGATACGATTGTGTCGACCGACGACTCGCTGAACGCCGATATCATTGAAACGATTTGCGGTATTTGTGTCAATGTCTTCAGCCATCGGGCGATCAGAAGCGGCGAATTCCTGGTTCAAGACTGGGATCAGTGGATCCGTTGTCTGCTATTAGTGGACAGTCAGTACTCTTTGATGGCTTTGTTTAACATTAGTTTCAATAGTCGAGGACTGGAAGCGATGCGCGCCCGCAATGGACTCGTCGCTCATATGGCGCGCAATGTCTTGAGAACTGATCTCACGTTTGATTACCAATTGAAGAGCGTTTCGCTAAAACTCATTCACAATCTGTTTCTCAATTCAAACGATTTGAATATGAGATTGAAATTGTATAACGAGTTGACGGATGTCTTGCCATACAATCGCTTACAGGAGATGTTAGCACAAGAACCCAACCCTCAGCTCCGGCAAGACATCGCCCAACTGTTGGCCACAATCTCGTGTTTCAATGCTCGTGTCTCAACGCGCTTACCATTCAAACACAACACATTCAAAGCTATTTAATTTAATTTACTATTAATACATTTCGTTGTTTAGATATTTAATTAACAAATTGTCATTTTTGTGTTTCAAATGCTTTAATTGTTTAATAATTTTTCATTGTTTTTCGTCAACAGATTATATCGTTCTTTCATTTAATGTATTTTGTGTTTAAATATATGTTTTTTGTTTCACAATTAAAAGTTATCTGTATTTTATTGTACATTATTGAGAGAATTCATTGCCTTTTATTGATTTTCTATTAGAGAATAGTAACACAAGGTTTGCGAATATACAACAATTTAACTTCATTTCACAAAAAACAATTTGATATTCTTGTTATTTAATAGATGTTTAAACATTCTCATAATGTTTACACTGTGAACAATATAAGACTAGAATTAACATGTTCTAATAAAGTGGCAAACTTGCCATGGGGCGCAAAATGTTATTTGAAATAATTTATTAAATGTTGTGGGGGTTGTGAAGAATCTATAATCCATATGACACATTTTTAATAATGTTGAATTGTGGTTAAAAAATAATAAAATTAAAATTTATTATAAAATTCATTATAATAACGATTAGATAGTATTTTCTATGGAAATGCAAATGTAATTTTGGTTGCGTTTCTGAAAGAGAAATATATCTTATAATTTAATCGATTTTTAATTCAAAGTAAAACTACTTTAAGTGACTTTTGTGTACATTAAATGAATTGAAAGTTTTTAAAAATTATTTACAGAATATAATGAATAATAATTTATTTAATAATTCATTCAACGATAATATTTTGCGTAAATAATGTGATAACAACTGCGAGAAAGTCAATGCAAACACAACGAGATAAATGTTTGCGATAATTGTAGCCAAAGAAACAGTTTGATTACATGTATGAAAGATAATTACAATTACATTCATGAAAATACATGGATATTCATCACGATATTTATTCGTTAATTTATTTTACTATTTAAACAATAGTTTTAATTAAAATTCTTGTGTAGTTTTAAATAATTTTTATCATTCAATCGTTACGAGTGTAACAATAAATACAATGTGTTTCTCTTATTTATGTTTAATTATAATAATAATCACATTAAATGCGGGCATTGAGTGCACAACTGATCCGAAGACACAAAACCGGCCATTAATTGGGATATTGTCACAGAAATACTTCAGCGATGAGTCCAAGTCTTATATAGCGGCGAGTTATGTGAAGTACTTGGAGAGTGCCGGCGCCCGAGTGGTAAGTGTGTCAATGAACTCATTATGCACTTAATTAACATTTGAACCGATGGTCATTTGTTAAGATCCCTGTTATGATTGACCAAAACGACGATTATTACCGCAAAATCATTAATATAACAAACGGACTGTTGATTCCGGGCGGCGGACAGGATCTGCAGACGTCGGGCTACGCAAAGGCGGGCCGACTGTTGTGGCGGTTGACTAACGAGGAATTCAAAGACAAACATTACCCCATTTGGGGCACATGTCTGGGCTTTGAGCTGATCGCACAGTTTTACGCCAACGACACTCTCACTGATTGCGATGCTATGGATAGGGCCGACAAAATTGACTTTTTTCCCACCGATTTGTTTAAGACTAGACTCATTGGATCAGCTCCCAAAGAAATCATTAATGTAATTTACAATTAATTAATTAAATACTGTGTATTACTAACTATTACTTTGTTAAAACTAGTTTAATATTTAGTTTTTGTTGAATTCTCTGTAGTCCATGAGAGACGAGACAATCGCTTACAACTATCACAAAAAGTGTGTCACTTTAGACACATTCAACAGCAAACCCGATCTGAAGAGCAATTTCACAATATTGTCGACAAACACCGACAGGAATGGTGTGGTGTATGTGTCGATGATTGAGTCGGTGGACCCGAACCGTCCCATATATGGCGTCCAATGGCATCCCGAGAAGAACCAGTTTGAGTTCGCCTACAATCAGAACCACCAGAATATTCCTCACGAGCCCAACGCCATTAAAGTGAGCCAATATATGGCCAACTTCTTTGTGAACGAGTGCCGCAAATCCATAAGACCTGTGATTAACGCCAAAGAGGAGTCAGAGCTACTCATCTATAACTACCAGTCCTTATATACCGGCGCTAAGACTAACTACTCGTACGAACAGATATATCTGTTTAATTCAATGCCCGCTAAACACAAACCCAATCACTGGTCGGTATTAATTGCCATTACGCTTATCATTGCTATTGTTGTATTCAATTAATTGACAATTTGACAAATTATGTGATTTTTATTATTAATTTATTTATTTTTCAATTTAGTTATTCATAACTTTGTGACGGTTTTGTATGTTATCTGTGTTTGTGATGTTCTGTAGTACACAATCTGTACATACAATCAAATGTTATATTTGATTATTTTGCTCAAATCGTTAGGATTTTACCACGTTTTTTACATTTAACTCAATAAATTTATTTTTAATACAAACTATGTTTTATAATTTGTATGATATTTACCATATTATCGTTTGTATTTTAATAATGATTATTTATGTTTGCAATTAGTACTATAAAAATTCAATTATTTATCAGTTAATTAATGAATATATTATTACTATTTTAATGTAACAATTAATTAATTATTTTAATGAAAGAAAATAAGCTACAGTTAATTGAGTATTAATTCATTTATTTGTAAAATACAATTACAAAAATATCATTAAAAATATATTTACATTAATCTATTATTGTATATAACATAAAATTATTAAAACTACTGTAATTACGAATTAATTATAACATAAATTTAAATAATATAAAATACAATTGATGTATAGAATCAATTGGAAAAAGCAATATGGTTAGAAAAAAGCACTCTAAGACTGCTCAAAGCACTCAATTTGCACTTTAATAGCACCGCTCGTGGGATTAGCGGCCGTATGAAACGCTTCCAACGCCTCTTCAATGCGATATTTGTGTGTAATTAATGGCTTCACATCTATTTTGCCCGAAGAGACCAAATATATGGCCAAAGGGAAACTGTTGATCATTGCAAAACAACACACATTACAACCATGTTTACTTTATACCATGATTAATTGTATGGACATACCTGTGTCGGTACCGTTTAATGCCCAATAGATTCACTTCACGACACGCGGCGCTCGACAGAGAGACCGACACTTTTCGGGGATTGATTCCAACCATAATCACATTTCCGCCGTCTTTATTGACAAAAATGGCTAAATTGAGTGAAGACTCGGCGCCACTGCACTCGAGGGTTATGTCTGGACTGTCGCCGAGGATTGCGATCACTTCGTTGGCCAGCGATTCGGTGTCCAGTTTGGTGTCAATGAGTATTGTCTTATCGATTCCCATTTGTTGAGCGAATTTCAATCGACTCTCGTTAATGTCTAGAATGCAAACGTCTTGAGCGCCCATCGCTTTGGCCGCCAACGCCGACAATAGGCCCACCGGTCCGGCGCCGGTCACCATCACTCTCTGGCCCGAGCCCTCTGTAATGGCAGCCCTCTTACAGGCGTATACGGCAACGGCCAACGGCTCCATCAGAGCGCCCTCGCCGTGGCTCATGTTATCCGGCAATCTATTCACACATTTTAATTGATGTTATAATTAGTAAATTGTTTTATAACAAAATTAACAAATTATTAATCAGACAATTACTTGTGACAAAAGGCTGAGCTGTGGTTATAGTATCGGCGAAGAGAGCCTCCAGTGGGCGGAACTCCGAAGAACAGGACATCGGGGCAGAGGTTATAGAAGCCGTCTTTGCACACCTGACAGGCCATACATCCGACTCCGGGTTCAACGGACACCCGGTCTCCCACTTTGAGATTTTTGACATGAGAGCCCACTTTGATGACAGTGGCGCTGGACTCGTGTCCGGTGACCAGCGGTGACTCAATCACCCACTTGTCAATACAGCCGTCTTTCCAGAAGTGCACGTCTGAGCCGCAAATGCCCACAGTATTGGACGCCAACTGGACCTCTAAAATAAGCGCAAAACACACACCCATAGGGTTAACACATTGCCCACAAAAAGTAACCATCATTCAAAATGCATACCATAAGGTCCCGGTTCCGATGGCAGCGCCGACTGCTCTACTCTCAAGTCCTCCTTCTTATGGATTACTACCGACAGATTGTCTCTTTTGTCCATTTCTTTCGCTTAATACAACTCAAGTCAAGTATTTTATTGAAAATAAACAAAAAAGTTTGTCAAGAATTTGGCAAAAATAATAAAGTGTTGAATTATTGAAGTATTAAAAGTATTGAATAAAATCGCTTTGAATGCTATTCAATGTGTGAATTCTTTGAGCAAATTCTCTCACATCTTATATACACCGAAAAACTAACTCTGGATTCAAATTGTCGTCATTTGGTTTACCTCTATATGTGTGCGAAAAGGAGTCGACACCGCGTTATCACATCCAATGGCACTCGTATTGAAAAGTTTTTTTCTGGTGGTTAATGAGAGCCTCTTTTTTGTTTATGATTGTTATCTTATGACATACTATGGCTTATGAATGCAAATTCAAGTGAAATACCTTTATATTAAACCAAGTTTAGGCATCGCTATCATGTCATTGAAATGATATTGGTTAGTCAGTAATGTTTATGGCTAGTTTGGTTAGAAATAATATATGCATGCAGTGTTCAATACAAATTAATCACGCTGCTAATTATTAATGTATTAATACCGAGATTATAGTATTTGTCAATTCAACTGGTTTTTGCCGATAAACCAAAACAGGACATAACGAGTGATTAAATGGCTTTCTTATCGGTTTTGTGAAACCATATGTCAGCCCAAGAATATTATTAAACCACTTATCGTTGTTTTGATTTTAAATTTTTTTTGGTCACATTTATAACCAGTTGTACCTAATGTAACACATCAGTGATGTTCATGCAAAATTTGTAGTTTTAACAACAATAAATTTAATATAAATTGCTCTCTCTCTCTCTCTCTCTCTCTCTCTAACAATAAAATGGACATAGGGCATAAAATTATAACATCTAATTTACGTGTGTATTAAAATACATAAATGTAAACTTTCTGTTAAAAGGAAATTTACATACAAATATTCATATTGATAGAAATGGTTCAAAGACCATTTATAATAATTGTATAATAAAATTTAAATTATGGTAAATTTCCACTTTAATACTAACAGATTATTGGATGATTTTTATTGAAATTAAATATTTGTAAACTATGCATTTTATGAATGAACTAGATTTGTAAATTATAGTATAAATACTAGTTTTATGTAAATATTTTTTGAAAGCAAAATTTTAGGTTAAAAATAAGTAATATGAATTTTTTTTGAATACAGCATTATTTACATAATAACCTCATAAGAATAATCAATTAATTTATAATTATAAAACTAGTTAAAGAAATTTATAAAAATCTACATTACAAATATTTAATTGAAAATTTTTAAAATTTTAGATTTAAAATGAACTTGAAAATATTTATTAGGCTAATGAAAATAATCAAGGTTGTAACCAGTTTATACCGATTTATTCCTTCAATTTTATCTTCATGTAAACACTCGGAAATCACATGTTTTGCGCAATAATTAGTGATATATTAAATAACGTAATGTATAATAATAATGTATAATAATAAATTAATTGATACTTTTATTTTCAAAATCAATTTCTTAAATATTATACATATTTTTTGAATGTAATCCAGAATTGATGAACAGAATTGTAGTCATTATTATTATTATTATTATTAAATAATAAATATAAATAATAAATAAATATCATAAGATAAATGCTCGAGTTTTAATGAACAAAATATTTATTGCAAATTTACCAACATTTAAAACGTGTTAATAAATATTCCATAGATTACTCATTGATTTGATTTTTAATAAAAATATTAATAAAATTAATAAAATAACTAATTAACGCACATTTTAAAATATAACAATGATTTAATTGATTCACATAATCATTAAAACAGTGATTAAACACTAATATTTAATGAGTGGCACCAACATGTTCATTTAATTTACGTATAAAACAGACACTAAAGTTAAATCAAAGCTAAAATACATAACAAATTTGGCAAATAATCAATAAATGAATCCAAAAAACTGCGAAAGAAGTGGAAATTGTATTCAATTAACGTATTTATAGGGGAATTGAGTGACGGAATTGAATGCATGGAAATTATCTGCAAATATTCATGAATTTGAAGGCAAAGATTGTACAAAAATATCAATATATGCCGACTATTGGCTTTAAATGGCCGCCAAATATGGGCCAAATCAGTGCGGATTAAAGCGGTTCTCATAATCATCGGCAGTATATGCAAAGGGTTTGAGAAAAAACACCATATATTTTGTTAAATACAAATTTTTATTATCAGATTCATGTGTTAAATGAGTTGCGAAAACAAATTGCAAAACTTGTTTGCCATCCAATATCTGGCGTTTAAAACCAGATTTAATGTCACAAAAAATTATCACCAATTGATATCAGATGGGACGACACAACACGTACAGTATGTGCCGTATCTGGTTATGTGCCGGTGTTGTCGTGTATGTACGATGAATGTAAATTTACTCTGCATTTTAATTATGGTAAAAAAGTTTATGGTTTCTATTAATCAATCGGACGTTATGTGTCCATTTTTGGTAATTAAAATTTCATAAAAAAATATAGTTTGTGTATCTTATTTTTCTCATGGGTTATACCATAAACAGTCTACTGATTGGATAATAGATATATTCAGTTCATTACGTAAACAATTAATTGTGAAATAGTTTTGTTCAATTGGTATAAATATATTTATCATTAAATTTCTAATTTTTAATTGAAGGATAACACAAAACATTATATATTGTCTTTATATCAAAACAAGTGTTGTGTCGCAACAAATTGTCCAAATTTAAAATTTTAATAACTAATTAGCAAATTATTATAAATAACTAATTAAATTAATTATTGAGAGAAAATAAAAGAAAAGTATTATATTACCAATTAAAAGATAAAAATGTATATAAAATCATTGAGAAAGACATTCATAATAATTCACAAATAGTTGTAATAATTTAATGTTAACTAACAAGTTATCCTCATTAAACTTTATATTTATTATAATTATATCGGTTATATCTTCCAAGCGAAACAAGTTAGATAAAATTTTTAAAATGCAAACTAAAGTTCCTTGTATCTAGTTTGTTGTGTTGCAAAATTATTTAAATCACGACTCAATCATAATAATTATGGGATGCTCATGTTCAGGCTTTATCTTAACTAAAGCTGGTTAAAGGGGGTATGCTATCCAATAGAGGTACCAAAAGTCTATAATAGCAAAGTTTGAAATTTAAAGTTTGAAATATAAACTGTTTTACAATGTGTGCTTAAATTATACCGGTACATCCACTTTATTGAAATCAATTAGAAATGTCAATAGATTTTAATTTTCATTTAATAACTTACAATGTATTGTTGGAATCGCCAACTTTTTGTAAATTACAATATTTGGTAATGTTATCGGCCGTAACGGGCAGTGACTGTTAATGGGAATCGCCTCAGTTTCAGTACAAAAGCAATCGATTACCTGATCGTCACTGTCTATACAGCTAGAATAATCTAGGTAGAAACATTGTCAATTAATGTATATAATAAAATTATATTTTATGTTTATTTGTTCGTTTATAACATGTTTGTTTTATATTTTAAAAACAGTTAGCTTGTTATAAAAACTAATTCCAGTGTTTTCATGTAAAAAAATTAAGCATGCCCTTATGTTTCATATAGTGTAATATTAGCACTAAAGTGTCTAATAAGTACCTATTTACACATATGGGCATTTAAATTAAAACCATTTCGGTACTCTCAATATATTTACTATAACTTGCTCAATTCAAATACTACTTTATCGATAGAGGCAATTGAGCATTTAAAAAGATTTACAACAAAACTATTAGTATATATAGAATTTGTATATTAAACGCATTAATTAATATTTGTAGATTTAAAAACAAACCAACCTGGTCACCGCAGCAATGAATCAGAACGAGGCCACCAAACCGGGTCGCAAATACCCGCTGCCGGCAGAAGCGGTCACAGTATTGCCCTATCATTACAACCAAATCCACGCGCGTATAGACGCGCAGTCCAGGCAGTGGCTCCTGGAGTCCAGTCTGTTTACGCCGGAGCTGGTCGCAAATACCCGCTGCCGGCAGAAGCGGTCACAGTATTGCCCTATCATTACAACCAAATCCACGCGCGTATAGACGCGCAGTCCAGGCAGTGGCTCCTGGAGTCCAGTCTGTTTACGCCGGAGCAGTACAACCGGTTGGCCAACACCGGGCTATACACCGCTTATTTCTATCCTTTCATTACGGATGAGGACCGGTAGGCGGACTCAAACACTAATATGTAATCTCGATCGTTAACAACAAACATTTATTTGGTCACCCCTACACAGGTATGATGTGCTGAACCGGCAAATGATCAACTTTAATATCATTGATGACCACTTGGAGACCCCGTACGGCGATATTGACCGACAGGCGGCCAAAGCGAGTCCTATACTGGACCAGCTCTATCAGGTGTACGCTAAGCTGTTGGCCGGACCACAGGGCGAGCACGTGTCCGCACACCACTGGAAGCCCTACGTGTTGGGCAGTTATGCCATTCAGGAGCATATTTTCAGCGCTCTGAATGATGTCCAGCGCCGGCGGTTTATACAACTCTGGACCGAATGGACCGACTCTATGATGACTGAATGCCTAGATTTGAATAATAAAAAGGAATATGGCCATCTCGATGAATTCTACGAGGTAAGCAATTTTTGCGCCATTATTTTGAAACAAAATCATTGATAAAATTAAGCTAGGATACATTTTTAATCACAATTCAGCTAGAGCATGTGTGCTAAAGAAACAGCTAAAATGTATGCATAATGTGGTTTATAAGATCCAAAATAAACAAATATGCTAATATTGTTGTTGTTAATAATTAAATAATAATGTAATAATAACTCCATAATAGGTAAGGAGAATATCGGTGGCGTTTATGCCGATATACCTTATGTGCGAATACGCGCACAATCTGTTCGTACCGGAAGACGAGTGGCGTAACCCACGCCTCCAGCGACTGTTCAAAGTGCTGTCCAAAGCGGGAGTGATGTGTAACGACATCTACTCCTTCGAGAAGGAGGTGTTGGACGCGGGCGGACGAGTGGACGGCGCCTACAACGGGGTGTCTGTGTTGGTCCGTATGCACGGCATACCAGTGGTGGACGCTATGCGCCGATTGGCTCGCATGTGTCGTGAGCTGGAGCTCGAGGCGCAAGAACTGGTCCGTGAAATACAGTCGGCCGACTGGGCGTGCGCTGACACCCGCGACTATGTTCAACGATTGCTATGGATTAATGGGGGTAATTGGAAAGTGTGCACTATTTTAGATAGGTACAATACCATGAATGACATAACAATGTCCCGATAATTAGATTTTAAATATTTTTTATTTAAATCCCTTTTAAATTGTAAGGAAAATAAATTGTTTTCTTTTTTTATGTTTTTAATAAATCAATATAATTTTTGGTTTTTACAATTTTTTATTATTGTAGCTATTTATAAACACAATTTAGCATGCAATTTTTATTTGATTATAAAGATTGATTAAACAATTTAGATCACTTTTTCACAACTCTTTACAATAAATGTCATCATTGGATGACTTCTTGAATAAGTTTGCGCTCACAATCAAATTGAAGAGTTTTAGGCGCATTCTATTTTGAAACCGATTTATAATTATTATTCTATCCATCAATTAAAAATATCACTTGTTTTTGCAGACAATTATCTATAAATTGCTATAAATATATTTATCATTTTTCTAATTTTTAATTAAAAAGTAAAACAAAACAATATATTGTCCATAGACTGACCAGATGTCCAGAAATGGCCTGGATTGTCCCGGAATGAAGGTCCCTGTCCAGTGTCCAGGGCAGGGGTAAACCTTGACATTATAATGTCCAGGAATGATAAACTGAAAATTTCTAGTATAAATATTCTCTAACATACAGTATTTGTAAACAGCGCTTTTATTGAAGGTAATAATTTATAACATACTGTCCAAATACTTGTACAATAAATATACAATTACACTTTAAAATAATCAATATAAAATGTGAATGATAGCAATGAATGTAATTAGTTTTAAGCAAAACATCACACATAATAGTCTAGTTTTAGAATATAATATTAGTTTAAATTGTGACGGAAGTCGGGTTCGCGTGTGCTTCGGGAACCCTAACGACCCGTCGGACGGTAGTTGATGACCAAAGTCTTGGAACGACGAGGTCTACCGTCGGATTGTCGGATGCGTTGAGAGGTTGTGACGAAGAGTGAACGAAGTCGGATAATGGACTGTATGTACGAGTGGTTTGCCGACAAAATGATACGATGGGTAACGAGTGTATGAGTGGGCGACTCTCGGTTGAGTACTAGTAAACACAGGGTATAGACATGAGTGACTTGACTTCGATCGGGTGCGAAGTCGGAACGTTAGATGAATGGGTGCACGAGTTTATAGATATGGATGGCCAAGACCTACGAGCCGAGGCGAGGTCGGACTGAACGCCGTGAAGGCGAAGTCGGGCGAAGAGTGACGACAATGTATGGATAGAGTATGGCCCGCTCCGGGACGGAGTCGGGCAGAGTAACGGACAGCGACTTGTATTGTGAACTCTCGTTAGTTTATTGGTATATTTTACAGGCTTTAGGTTACGATCGGATATATAGTTGTGTACAGTGTTTATGGTTAGCGAAGTCGTTATATGTAATGTATAGGCGGTGGACAGCGGAATGTTTAGTATGTATGAACAGCTTATGTTTTATATGAGGTAATTGTGTATAAGACATGGAAGTAATCATCGGCAATTGAGGTCAGAATCGGGAAATACATGGTTTGGTTTGTATGCGGAAATAGTGGTTAGAACTGGTCGTTGAGTGCATTGAATGCAATGTTTGAGTTAAGGATTAGGGCTATGATAAGAGTGTCGAGGATTATAAATGGGAG